TGTGGGGGTAGTTTTTAACGATTTTTCCGAACGGGTTGAAATTTTGTATCAACAATCTTCGTATTGAGAAATAACCAAATATCGAGTTTTAACTAGATTGGAGCATTTTTAACCCCCAGTCTGCAAGGTTGTTTTGGGGGTGATTTTTAAGGGTTTCTCCGAACGGCTTGAAATTTTGTATCAACAATCTTTGTATTGAGAAATAGGCGACTGTCGAGTTTTGCTTTGATTGAAGTATTTTTAATCCCCAGTCTGCAAGGTTGTTTTAGGGATGATTTTTGAGAGTTTCTCCGAATGGGCTGAAATTTTGCATCAATAATCGTCGTATTAAAAAACTAGAGATTGTCAAAATTTAACTTGATCAGAGTATTTTTAAGCTCCAGTCTGCAAGGTTGTTTTGGGGGTAGTTTTTAACGGTTTCTCCGATCGGGTTGAAATTTTGTGTCAATAATCTTTGTATTGAGAAATAAGCAAATATCGAGTTTTGATTTGATTGAAGCATTTTTTACCCCCAGTCTGCAAGGTTGTTTTGGGGATGATTTTTGAGGGTTTCTCCGAATGGGGTGAAGTTTTGCATCAATAATCCTCGTATTGAAAAACTAGCGAATGTCAAATTTTGAATTGATTAGAGTATTTTTAAGCCCTAGTCTGCAAAGTTGTTTTAGGGGTAGTTTTTAACGGTTTCTCCGAACGGGTTAAAATTTTGTATTAACAATATTCGTATTGAGAAATAAGCAAATATCGAGTTTTAACTTGATTGGAGCATTTTTAACCCCCAGTCTGCAAATCTGTTTTAAGGGTGGTTGTTAAGGGTTTCTCCAAACGGCTTGAAATTTTGTATCAACAATCTTCGTATTAAGAAATAAGCAAATATGGAGTTTTAACTTGATTGTAGCATTTTTAACCCCCAGTCTGCAAGGTTGTTTTAGGGGTGATTTTTGAGGGTTTCTCCGAATGGGCTGAAATTTTGCATCAATAATCCTCGTATTGAAAAACTAGCGAATGTCAAAATTTAACTTGATTGGAGTATTTTTAACCCCCAGTCTGCAAGGTTGTTTTGGGGGTGGTTTTTAAGGGTTTCTCCGAACGGGTTGAAATTTTATACCAACAATCTTCGTATTCAGAAATAAGCAAATGTTGAGTTTCAACTTGATTGGAGCATTTTTAACCCCCAGTCTGCAAGATAAACTGTGGTCTGCAAATTAGACAGGCCCCTAGAAAACACAAGAGAAAGCTTGAAAGAAGAACGTTTTTGAAGTTTTTTAACGAATTTCATGCATATACAAGTACCAACTCTGCTCACCTGAAAAGGAAGCGTTCCACTCACCTCTTGCTGCCTTCTTTTAAAGTTTTCCCTGACTCTCCTTCGTTCTTCTCTTTGGTACTCCTTCAAAACGTAGTATACCGTCTCCTGTAATCCGGCTCCACATCCGCCAAAGCAAGTTAAAGCAAAAGCATTTGAATGGGCCATATCCCGTGAGCAAGGACACGCCCCGGAAATTCCACCTTCTGAGACCAACATCCACGTCGTGGAGCAGTCTGTGGCGGCACAATAACACGTTGGTAAGCGGAGAAAGATAAGCGGCCTCTTGATTTAGTGGTCAGGAAACCTGCCCGGCAAGCGGATGGCGTGTAGTTCGATTCCCACCGAGGCAGCAACACTACTTCAAATCTCTCGGTGTGGCACCCTATTGCTTTTTTCCTCCACGCCCCCTGCCATTCCGTCATAGCTGCTCTATAGACCTTCCGCTTTAGCATTCTTCGCAGATCTCTCGAGATTCCATCCACCATTCCCCCTTTTCTTGTCGTCACCATGTCTAGTGCAACTTTGAAATCGGTGAGTAGACTCCTGAAGTTTGCTGTACTGCTCCCGATCTACCTGGTGTGCCGTTCTCCTGCCTCGATCCACATTGGTGTACCTCCAGATAGCACGGTTAGCGCAGCTTTAGGCGTCGTCCTGTAAGCTTTGAAGATGCCCAGCAGAAATGATCGTTGCGCTACCTGTAGACACTTTTTCTTCTTAGAGTCCATACCGCGGTGTCCACAGATTTCAGAAGCTTACAACAAGTGAATTTAACCCCTTCATCATAAATCTGTCTGAGAGGTCAATTTTCCGACTACATGGAGTGTCCCATCCACAGAAGACCTCTGTCGATGATGACCCCCAGATACTTCATGGAGAATGCTAGTTCGATGACTCTCCCCTATTCGAATCCTCGGTTTCGTCTTTATACTGGCCTTCCTTCCAACTTTCGTCGGTCCAAAGATCGCCGTCGTCTTGTCGTACGCTTATTCGAGCTTGTGGCCGGATGACCACCGCAGACAAGTCGCCTGCACGACCTCCCACGCCGCCACGATCCGTCGTAGAGAAGTACCTCTGATCATGATGAGCTGATCATCGGCGAATGGTTTCACCTCCATCTGGACCCCCTCAAAACCTCTATTTCATAATTTCGGAGGTTGCACGGTCGGAATCAATACATGATCGTTTTCCGGGTTGGAACCGTGTTGATTGAGTTTTTGGGCTCAACGTTTCGCACACTTTTGTAAGTGACATCTTCAGGAGCAGGATTAAGAATAAGGTAAAAGAGCACGGTAACTTAGTATGTCAACCATACCAGCGAATGAACTTATTTTGCGAAAAGGGGATGACTAGATAAATTTTCCACATTCTGATGGCTTTGTAGATTTAAAAGATTTGCTAAAAAACTTCAAAATGTCACTTTTCAAGCTTTTTTGTGTTTTCTAGAATTTCCGGTACCTAAGGGGTCCGAAAATATCAAATAAGTCATTAAACTTTAGCTATAAATCTTGTTTTTGTGGAATTTTATAAATTTTGAAATATATTTCGAATGGTTTTGACGATTCTGATGGTCATGACGCACTTACGATATGCATAATCAACTTATTTTGCGAAAAGGAGACAATTGGATATGTTTTTCACATTCTGGCGCTTGTTGATTCAAGAAATTCGTTTAAAAACATCAAAAATGTTACTTTTCAAGCCTTTTCTTGGGTTTTCTAGCATTTCCGGCACCTAACGAATCCGAAAATACCAACGACACCATAAAATTTTAGTTAGAAATTTTATTTTTGACAAAATTTTATGAATTGTCAAGTATATTTTGAATTGTTTTGACTTGTTCTGCGAAAAATAGATGATTGGGAATATTTTCCACATTCTGACGTATGTAGCTCCAAGAAATTCGTTAAAAAAACTACAGAAATATTACTGTTCAAGCTTTTTCCCGTTTTTGGCACCTTGTGGCCGCAAAAATCCTAAGGAAACCATCAAATTTTAGCTAGAAATCTTGTTTTGGTCGAATTTTATTTTAAGAGTTCTGAAGTATCTTTCGCCTTGCTTTGTCTATTCTGATCGTGATAACCCACTTGTGAAATGCAAATTCGACTTATTTTGCGAAAAAAGAAACAATTGAATATACAGGGTTAGTCACGAGAGAATTACTTCTGAAAATTATTTTTACGCAACCCAAAATACGAATACCATGTACCATTTGATACTAACTGAATTTAAAATGAAATGCTTAATCCATGATTGCTTTGAGTTTGGCAATCTCATTTTGACAATTGTGGAAAAGAAGGTTACGCGAGTGTCCATGGTGGTACCGGAGCCAGTCGGAAATCTCCTCCGGCGCCGCTAATAAATTTGTCAGTGTGCCTCTTGATCTTTTGCAACCGATTAATCACGAGAAAATTATTTCTAAAAATTCCTTTTACAGCATTTTATTCAAAGGTTACAACACAAACTCAAACAAGTAAGTAAATAATTTAACTACTAATCTGTTGAAAATGTTGGGCATTTTGGGGGGATGCTACGGCTTTTTTGTAAATGGATGGCCGAAGAAGTCCAGAGGTTACAGATTTGCACTTCAAAGAGGCTCTAGGTGACGCAGAGATGGCGAATTAACACATGCACATTAGCGGCGAACAACATTGGTAGAGCACTTACGGCTTCAGTATGGCCCAGATTGATCTGACTGTATGTCGTTGATCCAATGGGGCTCTAGAGGCGAGTCAACGATGAAAAAAAACGTTAAAAATTAATTAACGTCAAAGTGACACTGCCAAAGTCAAAGCAATCATGGATTAGGCATTTCATTTTAAATTTAGATAATATCAAGTGGTACAGGGTATTAGTATTTTGGGTTGCGTAAAAATAATTTTCAGAAGTAATTCTCTCGTGACTAACCCTGTATTTGTCACATATTGTCTTTTGCAGATGCAAGAAATTCATTAAAACACCACAAAAACGTTAGCTTTCAAGCTTCTTCTGTGTTTTCTAGCGTTTCCGGCGCCCTGACAGGGGGTATACAGGTTGACTACCAGGGTGGTCGTATACGACCGCTGGCTGTTTTTCCCCATATGCCGGGCGGTCCTATACGACCGACAAATTAATAACAATATGAAAAATATTCTTTTAAACACCATAAACACTGGTTCCCAGAATTTTGCAGTATCTTTATTATTTTAAAATGTTTCGTGCGTGAAGACCAAGAAACCAGACCACCGGAAAGTTGGATAATCTTCGTAACCAATCACAATAGATGAATCAGTCGTCACGGCTTCCATTGTTATTCGCTTTTAATGTTTATATTCTTCACTTGAAAGTGCACCTAATCTTCTACCGTTTTTTTTCATTTCAATTATTATTTTATTCCGAATTTCTGTAAGTTCGTGTTGCATTTTATTGTGCATGTTCTTAGTACATTTCTTGCAGTCTCTATTTGTATTTTCATTGCTTATTTTGTTTAATTGTTTCCTTTTTTTATTTTCTTGTGTTATGTTCTATAAATCTATATCATTGTTTTATTTGTTCTTCTGATTATATGTAGTTTAGACTCTAGTCTAGATAGGTAAAAAACGTTTCAAATATATTTAGAAAATAAATTTTTGATACCTCCACAAAGTTAAGGTGTAGATGAATAATGTTGATGTTCGTATGTTAACCGTTGCAGGGTTTGTTGTATAAAATGCGAACAGATTTGTAAGGACTTGTTTTATTTAGAAAAACACTTACAAACATAGTTTAAAAAAATACATCTAGACATATAAGTAGCTTTGCTTCTTATAAGCGCCACATGACTCATCCCAAACAAAAACCGGTTGTGAAAAACAAAATTTCCAAGTGAACTTGTGTTAAAGGTCTTCGTCCTAAGATACTGTCAAATTTATAATGTTAAATAAAAGTGTAGTAGTAGTTGTGTTATGGTTACAACGCTTCAATAACAATTCATTTTATAATTCTTCTGGGCGTGAAAAATTTTCTTAACTTAAACTTAACATATATAATTTTTTAATAAAAAGTACATTCCGTAAGAATGACCAATCTACTTTGTTTAATGCATGTAGGTGATAACGCAAATTATCATCCTACTTCAGCTTTGCCTTACATCATAAACTTGTCACCAGGGGGCGAAGACCCTTAACTCCGAATTTTTGCTTCCCACAACCTTCACATTAAAAAGTAAGATAAAATTTATAAGGCTCTCAAAGGTACAATGGAATTTTGGTCTTTTGATAATGCTATGAAATATTCAGACGAAGTAAAAGATAACAGCCGCTACTACAGAAATCAAAGCGAAATTAATCCGCGCAGAGTCTGCGGAATTCTTCAAACACTCGGCGGGTTTTTCTCCATCGATGTACATGCAGAGTGCCTTCACGAAATTGCTTTGGGCCAACTCGTTATCGTCCTGCTTGAACTGCTTGTTGAAGACGATAGTTGGTACCGAAGTCAGCGGAGGAGTGAGAGCCCCAGTTAAAATTCCAGCATCGTTCAAGTACCGCGAACCTGAAACAACGAGAAGTATAAGAAGTTTTTATTATAATGCATACACGCAAATTAAAATTAAATATATTGAGGCGAATATTTTTAAAACTAAGAAAACTGAAAGTTGATTGACAATTTACCATGCTTACAATGACTTTAAAACGTCTGCAAGATTTCAAAGCATCCACTTTTGCAATTCTTGATTTAAACAATAAAATAAATTGATTCAGTCTTTAATTTTTTAAGACACCCTGTATAAGCAAATCTAAAAAGTATTAATACAGAGATAAATCACAAGTATAGACTTATCACACTTTGCACATTTAAGATAGGATTTGTTCAGCAAAATTTTGAGGTGACGTCATCAACTTTTTAGGGGGGATGAGCAAATACATTTTGATCAAAAAGTAACAAGATGTACAGTTGATTTTTCATTCACTCACGTTTCATCAATTTATAGCATTATTAATATTAATTGTGCATAAACTCTGTAATTCTAATGAGTTGATGATGTAGGTAATTTGAGCTATCAACATCTATCTAAAGGTAAAATATTCATTAATTCTTATTAAAAATCAGTCACGTCTTCGCAGAAAAAGAAAAATTAGAATCGTTAGTTTGTGAAATAAATGAGGTTTAATTATGACAATAAACAACGTAACATAATATTGTTGGTTACTTAATCACAATAATTTTAGATCTGGAAGCTACAAAATCTGCAATAATTATTGTTTAGGTAATTTAATTGCCTTTCACTTTATCTGTATAGTTTCTAAATATTTTCTATTTAGTGTTTTTTAAGTTTAATGATTTCATTTAATTAGATGATAAAACGTTAAATAATAAAAGCTGAAGAAAGAAATTTTAGAACCTGCATAGTGGATTATTGGATAAAAAATTATTTTTATACTTATTAGAACTTCTTACTTACGTAAAATTCCCCCAAAAATGAATAAAACATAAACTGTTGTAGCTGCAAAGACAATTTATGTAAAAATATCATCGCACACAAAATGCATTTTTATTTCTATAGATAAAACTTCTCAGTATTTAGTCTTATGACCTTGGTTTTGCTTGTAATTTAACGAATCGCGAACATAAAATTGTAAATTCTACAACAAATGAACAACATTTTGGATAGGATGGTAAAAATGTAATAAATTTTCAGAAATTTTTTTTCTATCGAACCACATACCTTCGACGTCATTGGCGCAATTCTCAATATCTGCCAAATTCGGCACGCTGTTAATTTGTGCACATTCTTTGGTCGGGAATTCAGTTTGGTCGCCGTTGGGTTTGACTTTGTCCATTAAACAGTTGATGAATGCGGTGGTAATTTTATTGTAGCCCAAATTGGGAGTCTTTTTGCCACCATCAATGAGGTGTAAAGCACACACCTGGAGGCGGTTCCCTGTGCACTCTGCAGGCCCATGGTGACACGTGAAATCGTAATGGTCGGTAATCTCTTGCGTCGTCTGAAAATGTGTTTTTGTTAATTAATAGAGCGGAATCTATTGTAAGTGGCAGCTAACTAAAACGAAGTTGCACGTTGGGAAAGTATAGGTCAGACATAATGACTAGGGTTCTTAAATATTAAAATAAAATGTAACTGTAAAACAAAGCGATATTCGTTCTCCCGTCTTATATTTCCTTGAACTAAATGACGAATCGTAGAAGTATGATTGAAATCGACTGCTAAAACAAAATCAGCAACCTACGCAAATTGCCAAAAGCAGATAAAATTTTAGTTGGGACAATGTTTTGTAACTTCGAGTTATCCAGACTACTTCTTCTCGTGTTTGAGTTTGACTCACACATTTGACACATATATGAGATAATTGTTTCGGGAAAAACATTTGATTAGCGGTCTCATCATAATTACAAAACAGGAAAACAAGTTCCTTAAATATGTACAACTTTTATAGACTTTGACTGGTGACGATGATGCTGTGAGTAACAACACAACAGATAATGAAACCACAAAATATTTATTACATTAATTATTGGACCTTGATAATAACGTTTACTTCACTTAATTATTAACAAAATTATATCTTTCATGATGCCAATTGGTGCGTTAATTGAAATGGTATATATTTTTATAACGTGTTAAACACATATATCGCTTCAGTAAACTTTTCACTATTATCGCCATCGCGAAAATTACATATGCAGTGGTTCCACTTTCGCGTTTGCTATGTATAACCGGGTACATGACACAAGGATTTCACTTTGTCGAAAAGCAGGAAATACTGGCGTTTTTTCGTAGTTGTTAAATACTTGTCATTTGAAATAAACTAAAGTGTTTCTAAAGATATTTGGAAACAGAGTTAAAAACTGACCAAAATTAAAACAAAATAAATTATTCATTGTCTTCTTCGTCGCTGCTGTCATCTAAATATACAACAAGTTCACTGACTTGTCGTTTCCTGTATTCTTCTTCTGTTGAAACGACTTCATTTTGACCAATTGTTTTTACTTGTTTCCTTCCTAATTGCGTTGATGGCACTGGCACTAAATTTGGATTGTTGTTATTTCCACGAACTCATGATTTTAATATGGATCATATCATTTCAATCGGGTTAAGCTCGCAGTGATAAGGAGGTAACCGCAGGACATAATGACCGTGTCTCACGGCCTCGTCCATGACATAGCTTTTGTTAAATTCTTTTGTGTGAAGAACTTCTAGAAGTTGTTTTTTGTTTGTTCATTTCTTCATTTTCAACAATTACGGCTCCCATTTCTTCAGCACTTACTACAGCGAAAGACCCCTATCAACTCAAAGCTACCGGGGTAGTAACGATTCTTTTATTTGTAAATTTAGGGTGGTTAGTAAGGGTTATTTGAATAATTTTCAGAACAACAAACAAAGTTAAATTCATATTTAAACGTTTATCAATAAGTATTTAATCCATCTAACGAAATAAGCTGGAACCAACCCCGAAAAAGCAGGTTATTCGGGTTGAAGGTTGACCAGGAACTAATGACACAATAAAGTGATTAACTCTGTTTCCAAATCTTTAGAAATACTCAACGATCTTTTTTTTAATCACACCATATATATTTTTAGAGATTCTTGTAGACTTTTTGTATGAATGCACTTCTTTTTTTTTTTCATAGAAGATAGATTAAATAGCGATCGAAAAGAAACTCGTCAAGTAAGCCATGCAATAATGATTTGGCATAACATGTCAAATTGATTAACGCAAACAAGGTATGCGTTGGTGTTGCCAACAGATTTTTTTTTCTTCAATTTCAAAGGTTGCTAGACGACTTTTTCTAAATCATATGGTAGTTTATTATAATTATGTATTTGAAATGATGAATGTTTATTAATAACTTCTTGAAATGACGTCATCAACTTTCTGCAATATAACATTTTAATGATACGTTACTGTCTTGTCAGAACTGTACAGAAATTAGATGAACCTTTTCTAAAATGATCGATATATTTGATTAATTATTGTATCGTTCATGGATGTAAAATTAATCGAATCCCGTTTCTTTGAGAACTCATAAAATTTGATTTTGCGAAATTTGTGGCCGAAAGTTATTTCGACAGAACTTCCTAACTATGACCAGTTGAGCCACGGAATCAAACTCAAGGCGGATTCATAAACCACAAGAGATGTCATTTTAAAAAATTTAATGGCGTGTATTAAAAAAAATAGAGGTGACGTCATCAAATTGTTTGTGGGGATGATTAGACAAATTTAACATTCGTATAAAATTTGACAATAATCGGTCCAATTGTTTCGTGCTTCAGGGGTAATGAACCGTCAAGAAAACATAAAAGTAGTAATCATTCGTCAAATGGAGCCTATTACAATCTTCCGTAGCTAACGCTCGAGAAGTAAAAATATTCTAATTAATCCACCTAAAACCATACCACATTCTATTTGGAAAAGAAGTTGAAGTCATTTCCAAAAAAAGCGTAGGTAATATAACAGTACTGTAACCTCATTTGACATACACCTGTTAAAACTGTTATGACTTAAGCGGCTTAAGCCAAAGCACCCTTATAAGACAAACTGGCTATTTTTTTTTTCAAAAATCTGATTGTCTAGGGTAAAAACTCAACACGGATTCATAAACTAGAAGTGTAGGGGTATGTTATTTTATAAAATTTCAGTAGGAATGTTTACTATTTTAAATTTAGTGATTATACATAGTTTCATTAGTGTTTTACCAGTAGACACGGCAAATCGGATGGATCCTATTACAATGTTTCCTTAGCTTACGCTTGGAAAATAAAAATCTGTATTTAACGCATTTAAATTGCATACTGTTGTATTTGTAAACATAAGTTGATGTCATTTAATGGTTGGATTGGAAGTAATTCAATTACAAGTAACTCATTATTGTAATTCAATTCCTTTTCAACTAATGAGTAATGCATTAGTTTTTTTGAGTAATTCAGTCACTTTTACAATTACGTTTTCAATTACTTTTAACCCAAATATTCAAAAATATTGTTTTGTTTTTCTCTACGAATCGTTTACCTGACCTGTTGGGATTATTATACTTGGTTCGTCCCCATAAAGAAAAGATTAACCCAGTAGAGGGTTAAAATCTAAAACTAGTTTAGCACAAAATTTGTTATAAGAAACCAAGTAACCATAATTTACATAAGCTCTTCATCATTTTAAGGGTGAGCTAAAGCTTATTCCAGCATATGGAAATACATATAAACTTCTGCCCAAGTTTTTGCCAAAAGGCTTCCCCGGTCAGAATCAATACATGATCGTTTTCCGGGTTGGAATCGTGTAAATTGAGTTTTTGGGCTATAAATATAGTCCTCTTGCGTGAAGTATTTATTTGTTTTATTTCATGTACTGATGTGAATATGTAACAAATGCGTTAGTAAAATAAATCACTCACTGCCTTTTTCATTCTAACACGTTTTTTCTTCACCCTTTGGACCCGTACAACAAATATCTAAAATTGTGTCTTCATTAAATTTTTCAAAAAGCAAGTAATTGTTAAAGTAATGGATTACTTTTTAAAAGTAATTGTTCCATTCACTGATGTTATTTAATAAATCAAAGGTGACCTGTCTTAATTAGCTGTTCTAAATTTAATACTTTTATTTTTACAAATACATACAATGGAACAAGTAAATTAGGGCGCTCGGTATAAGTATATATACCGGGTGCACTAATGTACTTATACATATGTATATAAATAACAGTATACACTTATTAATCGAGCAGTTACGTAAGTGATATTAAATACATCAAAACTTGGTTTATAGAAGCATTTAATCGGTCAAATAATCCATCACGCGATCAAATTCAGCGAACTAAATTCTCGCATGCATGGGTTAATCACCATTAATAACGGGTGATTAAAAAGTTTTCGCATTAGAGTAGGCTACGGCAATATTTTTCAATCTCCATTAATTTTGCGTGAATTACAAAAGTACGCCTCTGCCATTAGATCATTCTGAATTATGAAAATAAACAAAATGAAACACTGTATAATCGAAAAACTGAAAAATCTCTAGAAATTCAAAAATCGGTGCTTGTTAAAAATTAAATGAAAAACGGGAAAATCGGAAAAACCAAAAACTATAATATCCAAAATTTCACAAACCGAAAAACTATGCAAAATAAAAATTGATTGATATTTCTTATAAAAAAGTAGAAAAATATTATCAGACCCAAGGGTTTTTTATTTTGGCAAATGGTCTACTCTCTAGAAAATGAAGGACGACTGGACGAGGTTGGGACTTGCCAAGATAAGACTGATATTGCCGAATAACATACCCTCTAAGAAAAGAAAGGACGGGTGGGCGGGGCTAGCACTTGCCAAAATAAAACTGATTTTGGCAAATGATATATCCTCTACCCTTTATTTTCAAGTCTTCGTCTTCTTAATATACGTAGTTATCTTTTCACAACAACAACGTAAAAAATGGATAAAACGGTAAATTTTGTAGGGAAATAGGAATCTTGCAGTTACGTTTCGGTCTGGCAACGAATGAAAAATTCATCACGAGATTAAGCCCCACCCATATCTACCCCGACCTCAATAATGATGAAGTTTTCATTCGTTGTCAGACCGAGGGGCGGAGCGTAATTGCAAAATTGATATTTCCCTATAAAAATTTACCATTTTAGAAATGTTTTAAGTTTCTTGTTGTGAAAAGATGTCTACGTATATTAAGAAAACAAGGCCAAGTATAAGCCCCACCCACCCACCCTCTCTTAGTCGTGACGATTTTTTCTATTCGTCGTGAGCCAAGTGGGCACAGCTTAATTGGAAAATCGTATTTTTCCACGAGAATTTACTATGTAAAACATGTTCTTGAGTAACCATGTTGTTCAAAGCACGCTATATGCATTAAGTAAAGTAAAACAGAAGCTCAAAAAATAAGTTTTATTTGAACAACATGATACTCAAAAACATATCTTACGTGGCAATTTCTTGTTGAGAAATAAGGATTTTGCAATTAAGCTCCGCCCTCTTGGCT